GTCTGTGGTTGTATTTTCTGTCTGGACAGTCTTCACCTCGCGTGCGCCACAGAATCTAAAATGTAACGGCCCCGTCTTCTCCTTTAATGACTCCAGGTTCCCCTCAGGCCGGCAGCGGCCGGTGGTGGTCACCTTGTGCGGCCGAGAGGGCTTTTCTGATGCGTCGCCAACGCCGGCCTTGAGATCAGTGGGCTGGTCCATAGGCTTCCCCCCTGGTTAGCTTGATCTTTTCGGCCCGCTTCGGAAAAACACCCTTCCATGAATCCGCTGCTCGCTGGCGGAGGGGGCGGGGAGCAGACCTGTTCTGTGGTTTGAATTGTAAAAGAGGCCAGCTCTGTGCTTTTGCATGAAGGGGAGCTGAGTTCAGTGCTAAGCCCTTGATGTCTGGAGATTCCAGGACATCAAACTTCCACTCCGGATGATTATCCACGGCTCCCGCCCCGCCCCCCCCCGCTGTCGGCTCTCTCTGCGGCTCCGTCCGGTCATGTCCTGAAGGAGTCGAGTTTCTTGTTCCACAGACTGCAGCACCACTGACCTGCGGCCTGGGGTATCCCCTTCCCTTCCCCTGCAGCCTCCTGGCAGCTGTGTCAACACGGGCAGCCTCCCTCCCTTACACAAACAATGGGAAAGCCATTGTCCCTGCTCCCAGCACACCGCTCCCAGCCAAGACCGCCGCCGGCCTGCCCACCAGGCAGGGCTCCCCTCTGTGGCTCCTCGCTGGGCCGGAGAGCTCGCGCCACATCGGAGACGGCACCGCGGCCGCCCCCTCTTTCTCCCCCTGCCCGGGACCGCTGGGGCGCTTGGCATCGTGCCCTGCTGGGGATCGCGGTGTCGGCGAGGGGTGACTGTGTCCCGGGATTAGCACGTCGCTGGTGGCTGTCGTCTTCGTAGACTGCGGAGGGGGGGCTCCGAAGCGCCCTGCTAGGTGGGATTTAGGGAATCGTGTGGCTTGGGGGGGGGCGCAGGGCCAGCGACATGTCATGGTGCCCTCTGCCGAGAAGGAGATGGCTGGAGCAGGAATCCTGCGCTTCCTAGTCAGGAAAAAATAGAGGAATTAAGGGTGTATTGGAAGACTTTTTCCCTTTAGTTTCAACTTTTATTTTTTTAAAAATGTACATTTTTACCTCCGAGTTTCCCACTTGCATCGACGCATCGAAGCACAGAGGGCAAGAGCATAGAGATGCTTTCTGGTTTAATCACGGCACAGCACACATCTTGCAGGTAGAGATCACGCTGGCTTCGAAAGTGCTTCTGTAGCGGAGCTCCATCTAAAACGATCATCGGTAATAGATCTTCTTTTTTACTTCATAACCGAAGTAACGCCACTCACAGCAGCAGCCTCCAATCCCAGTACAGACCCCTCCCAGCCAAGCTCGGACTCTGAGATCAAGAAAATCAGAAAATGAGGCCGACAGTGGTGGTGGGCATGCTGTGCACTAGTGGCTAGCAAGTAGGATCTTCTTTTACAAATCCAGCTGAATAGGAAATGATTCCGAATGTAAAAATCTGAAAAGGGAAAAGAGAGAAACCACTCGTATTTTTTTTCTCTCCCAGTTCCAGGGTTAGAAAGTCTGTTCGAATAACAGCCCCCCACCACCACCACCACCACCCCCACCCTTCCCCCTCCTCCATGAATGCAAATCTTCCTGGGCCTGTTCTTGTACTTGCTTCAGAAAGAAAGCAGATCTTTGCTGGATTTAAGCTGCTTCCCGCCTCACGCCTGAGCTTTCTCCAGGCTGGGCTGATGAAGAGAACGATCTGTTGATTTCGGACGGTGATGTGGCTTTCCCGCACCGGGAGAGGCAGAGCATCGGCGCAGGGCCTTGTCTTAATAAAATCGCCTGCTGTTTTGTTTACCCCCTTGAAACTCATTTTCATGTGTTTTGAATTCTGTTGAAGGGTGTATGCACGACTGTACTGACCACCTCCCCTTACTGGAACAGTAGCCACACCTGTCAGTTTCTTCTAACCTTTCAGCGAAACTAACCTGTTTCCCTCCCGGTAACGAAACCCTGAAGTGTCTTCGCTTCCTCGATACTGCAGTTTCACCGAATAAATGCTCTTTGTCTCTCTCTTTCCTCTTCAGAACAGTGGGACCTGTCTATACTTTGACAGAAAAGATCGGTTCATAGGCAAAAAAAACACCCTTTTTTTTTTGCTTCTTGCTGGTGTGCAATCTGTGTGTAATGGTTAAAAGTTGAACAGTTTTGAAGTGAGTTGTGCACTCTGTGGCATTTGGGATTAAGGTTACTTCATGCTGTATTCAGAACCTGTCTGAGTTTCCTGTGGTGTTAAATCAACCAAGAGTCCAATTGATGGAATACCAGTCCATTCTAACACCTGAAATTTCTGCTTGCCGCCTGTTGTGGTTAAAACGCAAGCAAACAAGATTTTGAGGACATTTGTGTGCAAACTAACCTTTAGAAGACTTATTCTTGCCTGCACCAAAATCACTGGGCTGATGAAGATCTTTCTAGTTAAAGTATTTATGTTGATTCCTTTTTATTTGCATGAGGTCTGACATGCTGTACTGTTTTTGGTTTTGTCTCGTTCTTTATTTTAAATGTATCATAATGCAAAGAGCTGTGTGATTTGGCTACGGTACCCCAGCCGGTTTAGAAACTCAATAACCTCAGATATTTGAGAACGATAAACATTAATGGAGCCGCAAAAGAGCAAGCAGTCACTCTGGCTTGCGATCGGGGGACGTGTTGGCCATTTGGGGCTTTGGTGAGAGGCAGGCCGGTCCTTTAATAGCTGTGTGGATAAGCTTCGGGCCAAAATGATGGAGTGCAAGACGCCCCCCCCACTCCTTGCTGGGCAAAAGCCGGACCGAAAACTTCCACGGTTCCTTCGCGCCAGAGCTGTGACCCACGATCCGGAGAAGCTACGCTTCCTCTTGGGCGCGAGAGAGGCGGATGCACGCGCCAGGCACGCAGATGAACATTGAGCGCGCAAACATCGGCTCTGAGCATTGCAGAGCTGGTGGCTGTCCTCTCTGACCTGCAGACAAGCAAAAATTGCTCCCAGTTGGAAGGGACAGAGCCTACTCCATTTTAATTTTTTGGGGAAAGCCTGCATCTCGTGCTCTGGCAAGCGATACCGCACTATTGAAGCAAGAACAGCTGACTGCAGGGCCTTAGACTCGATACACATCTGCACTATTCACTTTTTGCATGGTCTGTGATGGGTTTTTTCTCACTACTACATGTTTACTGGACAAGATATTATTGTTCCTGTTATTATTTATTATGTTTGTGATGTGCTGCCTACACGGAGTGGTGCTGCCTGTTGTACTGTGTATGTCCCAAGAGATCAGCGTGACTAAGAATTCCAATATACATGTGCATATGGCAATACACTACTCTGCTACTCTACTCTTTTCACAAGCTACAAATGTGTGAGATGTGGCAATGCTTCCCTCTGTGCTGTCTCTCCTTGAAGGTTTTGGGTTGGGTGAAGAGCTCTCAACAGTACCTCAACTCCGTTTGGCACATATGAAGTTTAGGTTGAACACGTTGAAATTATATTTGTTTTATTTTGTGCCCGCTCCCCCAGAGGTATCTAAAGTATTTTTCCCCATGAAGGTTCTGATTAAACACCAACCTGTCGCTGTGAAGTCCTGTTGTATCTTTACCTTTCATGAAAGATTTTGTTCATTAGAGCAGTGGCAATTTTGCTTCTATTTTCCGAATAGCAGACCTTTTCGTGACTTAAACGTTCTCAAATTAAATGGTTTTCTCAATGGCCCGCAGTAGCAGAAGCAGCTTTTATCAAGAATTTAACCGAGATGATAGAATAGTTCTTTTCTTGGAGGGGATTAGAATTAACCAGCTGCAGTAAACACTTTGCCATCAAAATATTGCCTCTTTTATGGTTGTTCCCCCCTGTGGGTCTGGTATTTCTGGTGTTGCTGTAAAGCTGTAGTCACTGCAGGAACGCTGTTCTGCAGCAATATTCAGCTCTGAAGCTGGTTCAGAATGTTCCTCATTCCACTTTTTTCACTTGCTCTGCACAGACAAGCCACCATTGTCTTCCTGTGGATGACAGGACTCAGCAGCAGTGTTTACGAAAGCCCAGCGTATCTGATTAGCTTGCATTTGCTAGGCCTGCCTCTGTATATTTTTCTAGATAATGTTTACAGGGAGTTGCAAGAAGTTCAAACGTGCTGTGTGTGTGCCGCCACATAAACACCAGCCCTCTCGCCTCGGTTGTGCGCACATTTTTTCTTGACAAGAACCCAAACACTAATTACTGTTTGCAGCAAACGTGGCCTGAAAAGAGAGAAAAAGGTCCCGCGTTGGAAATTTCTTGCTGTTAAGCTCTCCGGAGCCCAGATGTTTTTGGGGTGCTTGAATGAACCCTTTTATTGGAACAGGATTTGCAAATGTCACGCTTCTCAATCTGGAGAGCACGCGGGGTTAAGGCAGAACCACCGAAGGGCAGGCATCAGCCTGCTCAGCTCTAATCAACACCAGCCAGTGAATGAAACAGGGGTTACGAGCTCAGTTCCTGGAGGGCCTAGTGTCTCCAGCTCTTTGTTTGAGGTCTGGTAGTCTAATTATTTAATTGCTTAATCGCAATTCTGTAAAAGACCTTAAGAATAACCCTGTTTATGTCAAAGTCAGAAAATACTCAGCTTTAAAATATTCGACTTCTCATTTTGGAACAAAACCAAGAAGACACTAGGAATTCCCAGGATCTGATCTTGATATCTCTGGTTTATAGATTTTGGTTCTGCTTAAGTTCAATGCAATGCGATTTTGTTGAACACCTGGAGACTACGTAGGGCGCTGTATATTCATGGTCTTTGTAGGACTTTTGCGGCAAGTGTCGAGACGGACTCACAGGTGCACGATATTGGCCAAAGCGCATGTTAGTGTATCCTGGGAATGGGGTCAGGATTATTCTGCACTTTTCCGTACCTTTTGTCTTTTAAAAGAACAGTAACTAACTGGGTAATCAGTGTTGTAAAACTATACATTGATCACAAATACAGTGATTGATACATTGCTCTGAAGTCAGGTAAGGAAGAAACGAGGTGGGTGCTTAAAGTTTGAATGACAGGCCCGGCCGGAACCTGATTTAATCTTGATTCGTACTTGTTTTATTTTCCACCCTCCTAAGAAACGCCGACGTGTCCCGGCAACCCGCCCACCTGCAGAAGCCTTCGTCCATCCATTGACTGGTTGCAAGGCTCCACGGAGCACCAGAGGGGAGAAGGAGGGCGTAGCTGCAGACTGGTCGTCCCATCTGGTCCACCCGGGCTGCGTCTCCACCAGATTGGACGCAGCAGCTGAGAAGCGTCCGTCTCACAGCTCAGCCCCGGCGAGCAGGCGAGAGAGCAGCGCATCTCGCTGCCAGGCTGCCGGAGGAGTCGCCTGTTGCCAGCATGGTGGGGGGACCCCCAGCCGGCTTCGTCTCAGCCTGCTGCCCGCAGCGGCGCCATGCCGGTCAGCTGCTGGCGGCCCCCGGGGTTCGTCCTGCTGGTGCTGGGGGTCAGAGCTGGTCTCAGGTCTCTCTGGCCTCTGACAACGGGTTTAAAACAGCGAACAACAGGACCAACGTGCTCTGGTAATTGCAATTGAAGGCTCTCCTCCGTTTTTAAACGGGCTGGCAGCCCTTAAACACACAGTGCTGGTGTCGGCTGAAGGGGAGGGACCAGCACAGGGTGAAACGTGGCATTGCAGTGTCGAGTCCGATTCGTCTCCTGTTTTTCCACTTCTTTCTCTATCCTGTTTTATTGGCCTGACATGTTACACAGGTCTATATCCAGTGGCTTATGTGCTCAATAGCTCATGCCTCTCTCCTCCTCCTTCCTGACTCCTCCCTGAGCTAAGCCACTGTCCCTTACCCTTCTGGATCCTGGATTCACCACACGTGCCTTTGTGCCGATGTCCTCACTAGGGCCTTCCAGTTTTCCCGGGTCTGTGGGATTCCCAGGAAAACTCCCCAGCGCAGAAGCCCTCTAGAGTCAGGTCAGGGCTCATGCCTATGATTTGCCATGTGTTGAGGCCCAGGTGACTGAGATAAGTGTGTTTATTGTGAATCACGATGTTTGCATTAGAACATATTCTAGGGCACTTTTAAAACTTGCGTGTGAGAGGCGGCCATTAAGCTCATTTAACTGCTTTGGTTGTTTGTAGCTAAGCTGGGTGCATAGCTCCAGTACTGCAGGACCAGAATGTGTCTGGTTTTGTTTCTGTTTGAGCTTTATGGCCTATTAAAGAAAGTCACGATTTCCTGAACTGGACAAGTTGAAAGCCTTTCCCTGCTCTTAAGAGGCTGGCTATTTTTAAAGCACTGTTATCAGAACTGTTGGACAGCAGCCCTTGACCCCTCTGAGGTCAGTGATTCGGGGATTTCACAATGCCGTTTTTTTTACGGAAGCCAGGACGTCATCTTTAAGGTCGCAAAGCTTGTCAGGCGAGGTGAAAATGGGCTCACAGGCCGTTTATACTCTGTTAGCGGTTGTTCATTTGAACAGAAATACATTCAAGCCCCTTAAATCAAAACCAAATGATAGACAAAAAATATCGGAGAAAGTCATGCTTCCATTAGGAATGTTCCATAAATCTGAGCCGTAAGTCAGGAAGATGAAAGCCCTGATATTAGGATGTGACTCACAAACGCAAAGCTTCATATTAACTCACAAAAACAAGACAAAGATAGCTTTTTTTAAAAAAAAGTAGTTTTGACAGATTTTGGCGCAGCTCTGTTCCTAACACAATAGCTGCCTAACCAGATGGGATTAGTTAATGTGATTGTTGGCTTCATTGTATTGAAATGGGATAAAAACACCACTGTAAGTAAGTAAAATCCCCTTTTCAGGCAAAAGTACTTATCCCGGTTCTTGTGTTGTGAGATTTAAACAGGAGCGATCGGCGACGCACGCGTGTAATTTTGGTGACAAGAACTGAAAGAGACATAAGCACACGTTGCAGAAGAGAAACCTGGCAAGGGGAGACTTTTTCCTGAAAGGAACGCTTGGCAGCCTTGCTCTGGAAGCACCAGGAAATTCTCCCGAACTCCCAGCGTAAGGGAGGGCGGTCACGTGTAGCAGGAGGTCTTCAGCCTCGGGCTGGTTCACTGTTCCCCAGCGCAGGAGAGGAGGGCTACGACACAGGTCAGCGGCTCTTTTCCTCCACTGTGTACTATGGCATTTTACATGAGCGGGCCTCCGTGTGCTGCCTACATCACCGTACTAATAAGTCCTTACAATTATATAGCGCTTTTCAATAATGGGGATCCCCTCCACCACCACCTGTGTGTACCCCCACCTGGATGATGCACCAGTCCGCTCCCCACACACCAGCTCTCAGTGGGGAGGAGAGCAGAG